GTGTGCGTGTCGGTGTTCACGCAGCCCGACCTCCGGACGCTCGTACCGTACGTACCGGCCAGACTTTGCTCAAGTGATTCTACGTAAGGCTGAACGGTGGGGAAAAAGCTCCTCGTCTCAGAAACCTCCCAATTTCACTCTCCCAAGTGTCCAAACACGCCAAGATTCCCATCCTCAGGTGGCTTCCCAAAAAACAGATCCATCAAGGAAGCGAAAAACCAAGTGCCCGGGCGCCCCCGTACCATCGCTTCTCGCTCTCGATGGCCTAGACCGACAGACACGACTCTCGTGGGGGAGGTGAAGGTTGGGATTGAATCATGAGGGTCAATAAACACCATAATGTAGACTCTTGATTCATAAACCCCCACTTAAACCCCCCATATGTGTTATATTATATAATCAAGAGTCTACATTACGTAGGAAGGAATCTTCTCAACCTGGCATCAAGATCGGGCTGCCACAACTAGCCTCTGGCACCCAACGACTGTCCTTCCAACCGACGGTAGACGTCTTGGAGTCGATGGTCCAGCACGGCGAGTCCGAGTCACCTTTTTGCTGCACAACCTGAGAATGTGTTTGATCTTTCTCAGGTGGTTTCCTAAAAAACTGGGGAGAAACCAAACGCTGAAGAGCCATGTGTTTTGGGGGGAAGGAGTACAAAGGTGGAGTTACGAAGTGTTGTAAACTGATGAGAAAGTGCATGATCGAATGATCGAAGCTGGGGCTGGCGTAATCTTGCTGGTTAGCAGTTTGGACTCCAGAATGCCAAACGCTGGTTGATGGTATTGGTCACCTGGAAAAAGTGTCCCGCAACACAGCAAAAGATCGCAAGGGTGGCTTCTAGCCATAGGCCCAAGCTCAAGAAATTGGTACTGCTACTTTGAACCAAAAAGTAAGGGCACCGAGGTTCTTGCAGACCCCCCCAATTCACCTGCCCATGACGTCCGGCATTCTTCGGTCCGAGCCGGTGCAAGTTTTCAGCGCCTGACTCTCCTCCCTTCGTCCCAGCCAGCAGCCTTCCGTGCGGCCATGGGTCCGGAAAACCCGAGTGTTTTCCTCTGAAAATGAACAGAACCAGGTGGTCAGCCCAGGAGGGTGGTGGTGGTGGTGGTGGTGGTGGTGGTGGTGGTGGTGGTGGTGGTGGTGGTGGTGGTTTTTTGACTGCTGAGGCCGTCAACGGAGGGTCAGCCAGTCCTCCAGGTGCCATGACCCGCCCATCTGAGTCCGGAGTCCATCTGTTGAAAACCAGACCCACCGGTGAACCTACCGCCTGTCGGTCGTTCACTAGAAGGACCAGACGTTACCAGGTTGAATGACCTGTCTCCACCCGTTTGCGGATCTAGACCCAAGATTCGAGACACCACAGTTCCGGTGTCCCAAACCGAAATCATCACCACGACCGGTGAAAAGAAGGAAACTCATCCGAGAAACTCAAGAAAAATGGAGGAAAAAGACACCTCCCCCAGTGGCAGAACAGGAACAACTGGGAACCACCCAACAGGACACTGATTGGGCCGGGTCCAAAAAACCTCTAAAGAAGGAGATGCATCGCCGCTGATTCTCAGCATCGCATTCTGCGTGGTCCATGGCGCTGCCGCACACCACGAACGCCGAACAAGGAGCCTTCCTCCTCATGGAATTGGAAGAGGGAACAAGCGTCACCTTCATGCGAGGCACAATCTCGAGTCAGTTGATGGAAAGGTTGCACCACTGAGAAAACTCTCGGAGGCAAGAAGCTGCAGGTTTCTCAGGCTTCTCAAAGTTGGGCCTCCGAAAAAACACTCCAAAAGGAGATGTATTTGAAGATCCTCGCCAAACCTCCCATTTGGTCAAAGCAGCTTCCTGGAGTCTTTCGTCTATAATTAGTCTGGGGTAGACTCGGTCCATCAATCACAGAGGGCCGTCGGAGTCCGCATCCAAAACAAATCCCCTCGCCAAAATCCACACACCAGGAGTCGCAAAGGGGTGGTGTTTAGTCCCATCAAGTGAGTGGAGTAGCTGGGCACCCCAACCTGGTATGCGGTTCCTTTCAGTTGTCAATCGTCCCAAGAGACCAAGGGTCGAGATGAGTCGGGCGGCTGATGTGTTACAATCCGAAGCCAGTTTGATTGTTCGCTGTGCCTTTCAGTTGGGTACACAGATCCAATTCTATCCATCACAGTTGGTGATCATGCACCTTGGTCCAAAGCATGTGATGCACACGTAAACCACATAGTGAATAAAGTAAAACCATCCTATGGTGGCCAGGGACCAGACGTTGGACTAGGTCTCTCCTCCGCCTGAAGGGCTTCTCTTGAGCATAGACCCACATCGAACCGGGAACTGTACCCTTGTAAGACGTTGCCACGAATACCAGACCATTGTTTTTTAAAGGTATACTCTTCCGGTTGATACAGACACACAAACACTGTAGGCACCTGTAGACTGTGGTTATCTTCATGTCCTGTCACTCCTGCCACACTGCAAAGACAAAAACCGGAAAACGAACGAAGCTTCCCAGCAACCGCAGTATGCGCCCACGCGTTGCATCACAAGAAGCTCAATGCTCGCGCCAGGCGCCGACTCCGAAAACTCGATCATATAAGACGTGAACCCTATGTTGAAAACGCTCCAAAACGATCCAAAAAGAGGTTCCACTAAAGGAGACCGTCTTGAACCTCCAAAACGTTCAATATGATTGACGGACATGAATCGACTACCAGGTGACTACCTGGATCTATTGCTCATAGATCTTCCTGACCTTCCTGGCGGCCAAAAATGACCGGCATCCCCCCGTCCCTTCACCAAGCACCGACCCTGGGCCCGGCACCCGAGCGGCAACACGCCTCGGCCTGGGTCGATGACTCGGATGCGCGTCTGGGTGGTCTGAAGGACCATGCTCAGGTGGATTTGAAGGACCATGACACTCCCTCCATCATATTCCTTTCGTGGTGCGTAGGTGGTGAACGTCGTCCAGCTGCCATGAGCTATCGACACGATGTGTTCTTAAAGATGTTCACCCCAGCTGTCGCGAGTGTTCGACAGAGCTGTCGGTGTCGGCGAGAAGCACGGCGTCAGCGACGGGAGGTCTCACCGCCTTGGACTCTTGAAGAAAGTTCAGGCAGAGGTCACAAAGGGATGGTTTGGCCCATCAACCAAGGGCCCCACAAACCATCAAAAACCTGGTTTTCCCTAGCAAAAAAACTGGTTTAGGTACGTGAAAACCTCTATTTTTGCATGGTTTCGAGGGCCCCTGGAAGTGAGTGGAGGATCATGGGCACCCCGACGACCTCCATACATCGCACACCCGACTACGTGACTGCTGGAGGGAGCTGAAACATCTCGAACTCACGAGTCCGATAACCAAACTCCTTCGGGACCGAAGAACGCGGTGGTTGTAACAGGAACACCCCGCAGCGGGGCACCCCAACGCAGTCCTCTGGCGTTCGAGCGACCGGCCAAAAGCCTTGGAGGACGTGAACCGCGACGAAAGAAACAGTTGGTGTTCTTTTTGGGGGGGTGGAAAGGGGATGGTTTTGGGTTGGGGAAACCAATTCTTGGGATCATATTGGGATGTGTTTTGATGGACAAAAACGAGGTCTTTCAGTTTGTTCTGAAGAACCTGAAGAACCCCTCCGGAGTCTCAGTAGACCTTTCACCAGGTGTTTCGTGCTTGGCGGTGTCACCGGACCCACGAAGAGGACGGGGGACGCTTCTGGGTGTCAAACCCCCCCAGAGGACGACGTTTCGGGAACGGAAGTGGACCGCCGGGAGGATCGCTGTGACCGCGAACCGAGCGATCTGTTTTAGCACTTGGCATGGGAAGCTCCCTCTTTTGACACACCCTGCATGAGTAAAGAGTGTTCCAAGTCCAAATGCGCCGATATGCGCCGATAGGGAGGCAAACTGCAGAGGTACCTGCGATCTCATCATTGGACCAGGCAGCCTCATCTCACTCCGCAAAGAACCGCAAAAGACATCCCTGCAGGTCCAAAGACCCAGTAAAGACCCAACGTAGGAAGCTGGTCCCTAAAAGCCTCATTGATTTAGTGCTTTGGTGTGACCAACGTAAAATGAGGTCAGTAATACACCGGGAGTAGGCCATGAATGTTTCTCCAAATGGATTTGCCTCTGTCCCTTTGAAACGACATGGTTTCAGGGGAGTCCTTCCAGATCTTTTTGAGCTATAGGCGTGGCATGCCAAGATCAGGGAAGCCTCTATAATATATAGACCCCCAAATAGATAGAAAAGTAAAAGCCCTTTCAAGATGGATTGGAAATCGTTTCTATCTATTTGGGGACCACTAGACATAAATTCATCAATAACTTCTCCGAACTTCCTAGAAGTACTGAAGCTCCCATTCGACCTCCCCTCTTCCACCGCCACCACCGCACCAGTCCCTCTCTTTCTGCGAGTCGGCCCGCGAAGCTCTCCGAACGCCGGCCCCGCCGCGGCTCAAAAGGTGGCCGCGCCCGGACGCTGCCGCGCGTTCAACGCTGCCGTGGCCGAAACACGACACGCCCCGTTCGGTGTACCGAACGTCGAGTTCCGAAAGCGTGTGATGGCGTGTTTCGTGCAGCGACTTCGGTGGGTATTGGAGGGATGGTGAAAGTTGGACTGGTTCCCTCGAATTACCCCTCACTTGATCTCACTTGTGCCACTTGCCCGTGACATGACATTCGAACCATCCCTCGTGGTAAGACGGACCTACATAACACGTCCTCGGAGTTGCTGGTGCGTTCCTTTCTCATCGACCAACTGGTCGTCGATGCTCCGTGACGAACGGAGTTGATCTCTTCTGACCCTGTCTTCATCTATTTTTCAAGTCCGTTCGACCATTTTTAAATGGTTGATCTGGTTTTTTGTAGTGTATAGTCCTTAGTAAAACACAAAACGACCTTGTCTGGAATTCAGACTATATAGAAAAAAAATGGCCGGGCCGCAACTTCTATAGGGATCGAGTTCGCCGTGGGGGCGCTCGCCGAGCGGAGCCCCGGCGCTGTCTCCGGTTTTCCAGTTCTTTGCCGCTCGACCGGAGCGATCCACCGGGGAGGAACGTGAAACCGACCACCACCCCTGCAACCCCATCATCCCAGTCCTATACCTCACGGTCCTCACGGTCGTCCAAAAGGCTTGGCCTTTTACGAACCAAGGTTGCTGGTGGGGATGGGGGGAGCGAGTCCGCCGACCGGACCGCATGTTCCGGCTCCCTCATGGCAGTAAACCCGCGGGTTCTAGAACCGACCCTTCCTTCATCTTTGTGATAGAAATCCCTTCAAGCCCTACATCACAAGTGAAACGTAGAACCTGAAAAGCATCCCTAATAAAACTAAGGGGGCGAGATTAGGGCGAACAGTTTGAATGGGACCAGGGTTAGAGTCTACAAAAAGAAGCTCTGACCCAAGCTGCTTTGCCATCTACAAAATGGCATATACCAGAGTGGGCTTTTACAAAATGATGATGCCTCAAGATTACGATCTGATGCTTACAAGTGTATAAAACCAGCCATACGGCCATATGCGATTTCTCTGCAAAAAGTTGGGTTCTGGATGCCCAAACTGCCAAAACTACAAGCCCTTGGTCCCCCTCAAGCTGTAGGGCCTCAAGCTGCGCTGATCCTTTGAACGCCGCTGACTTTGTGGCTCACAAACCAGGAAGAGCCAGAAAGATCACTTCATAAAGAGCCTTGAAGAGCAATTCAATTCATCATGACTCTACAGCACCAGCACCTCTACAGGAGTCCGAAATGGAGGGTAAATAAGGCTTTTAGGCCGCAGTCAGGTCTCAATAGGTGACTTTGCAGTGATGGTGGCAGTTGGAGGGAAAAGTTCGATGCAAATCCAACCACCCCAAAAGCCATATCAGTTCGATTCTCATAGCAGAAAGCGATCACCCACTTGAACTTGCAGGGTGTCTCTTCAAAAAAAGACTCCCGGACCCGCGCAACACGCGGATGTAGACCTACGCCACGCGCGCAACTCCCAAGGGGACTAGACCTACGGCGGGTTGGAGGTGAAAACGGCCGCCAGAGAGTCGTCATCGGATCCACGGTCGGATCCTGTGCATCCACCCGTGCTGTGGGCGGGCGTGATGGTCGATCGTATGGAGGGTACTCTGTGAGTCGTGATGTTTCAATAAGGCAGGGCGGAGCGGGTAGGCCATCGTAGGCGCTCGTAAGGGGTGGCTAGCAAGCTTAAGAAGCTACTACCCAGGACGCAGGAAAGTTCAGGCTTCAAGGAAGCTACCCCCCGCCTGAGGGTGGGGAAGAGCTTCTCATGAAAAAGCCCTCGAAACTTATATGGTCTAATCCTCATCACTACCCTCACGCCAATGACTTCGATTCCCAAATTGACTGAAGAGCAAATCCAAGGTAAATCCCCTGGTACAACTATCTACAGTGGATTTGCGCGAAAAATCTCAGAGTAACTTCTGACGGCCGGTGGGATTATTAAACTTTGCACGGGCAAATTGGAGGCATCTTTCAGCAATGCCTTTCTCCCGGGCGAATTGGCTGGCGTCTCAAATCACGTCTACGAATGGAGGTCCGGCGAAAATCGCTGCGGGATGTGCCGGCATAGGAGTGTTCTTTGAGAAATCTTTGAGGCCAAAGGCCTCCAACCTACTTGCGATGGCCTCCACCCTAGTTGCGATGGCCTCCAACCTAAGAGCGACTTGCGCCTGATGTTCTTTCATCCTTCGGCAAAAGAATGCCAAGGAGAATGCTCAGGTGCGTGCTTTCCTGTGTAAGTCCCCTCGCGAAGACAAGAAGCCTTCTATGTATAGCCATGTTTATGGAGAAACCTTTCTGGCAAAAGGTAGCTTAGAAGTTGCAAACCAAGTTTGAGTATTGCACGTATGCCAAGTATGCTAAGTAGGGCCTGTATTTGGTGGTTCTTTCGAGACGCCATGGCTGAGCCGCTCAGAGCAACAGATATAACGCACTGAAGACGACCAGGGTTAAGAGGACGATCGCAAAGAAGAGGCTGGTGTAGCCCGTGGCATGAAAGACCTGCGCTGTTGGTCAGAAGCAGGTCGGACTCAGACCGGATCCAACCAAAACAGGGCAGACCGGTGACCAGAAAATGTCCTTTAAGAGCACCAAACAGAGCCTTGGGGAGTGGAGGCTCAAGGTGGGTGTCAACGACCACCGCCAGGCGGTGAGTGTCCTCACAGTTCAACGGCCATCCGCGCCTTGGTCTCTGCCTACATCTCATCATTTTGAGGACAGACATGATGAGAAGCTTCCCTCTGAACTGATGAGGAGCACCCTAGGCTTCAAAGACCAGTTTTATATATCTTTTTTTGGGTTCGGCTGACCTGCTTCTTGTAGTCTAAAATCCTCATAGTCAAACAAGCGTTGCTTGTTGAACACAACAATAAAAACTGGTGAGCCAGGAATCCCCCAAAAAAAAGGTAAACCGATCAACAAAATCCTCGCCAAAACTCCTGAAGCCAACAACCCTTGTTCACAAAACCGTCAAACGCAAACATGGCGGCCCTTTTCCAAGAAGCAACCTTTACAGAAATATCAGCGCATAAGTCCCCAGAAACCAAACTGCAGGATCAGCAAAGAGAAGCTATCGTTCCTCGTGGTATATGCTGGACCCTCAGTTCGTACTTCTAAAAATGGGTACAAGTACCTGCATCTCCCGTTTTCATCAGTGTTCCAGGGTACGAGCAAGTTCGTCGGGTCTAGGCACTTCCTTTTAAACTCGAAGTCATTGTCCAGGTCAACCGGCTCCAGTCAAACAAAAAGCGCTCCATCAAACGCTGGCCTCCAACCTATATAATAATCTTAATAGCAAAAGGAACCTAGTAGAAATGGCCTCCAACCTAAGAGCGATGGCCTCCAACCTACTAGCGATGGCCTCCAACCTACTAGCGATGGCCTCCATCCTAAAGATTCATCGTTCCGGAACTTGTGTGGAGAAAACGCGTCGGGAGTCGAGCGAGCAATCGGCTCACCTTGAGGACAGGCTCCCAGACTTCATTGTCGATGTCAATGAATTCCAGGATCCGATCCTCAAAATGGTCCGACCAGCAGATCCGCCGCCCCCCGACCTTTCCTCCACGAACGCGTGGAACGCCCCGCTACTCGACGTTCGCCCGCGGATCCGTCCAGCTCCGGACCAGGTTCGGGACGAGACCGGAGACCGGCATCGACCCCCGGAGTCCAAACGGGTGCGAACGGTGCCGAGGAATTGGGGAAACCGAGCGGTTCGACCTAGGTCCGTGGCTGGAGTTGGTAGAGGTCGAAGAACAAAGAAGTTGAAGCCATTTGGAGTCCTGGTTCTTGACCTGATTCTACTGGAGTTGGTCATATAAATCCACCATACTCACATGAGCTTTGACCAGAAAAGCCTTCGCGAAACCCGGTCCAAACGGACGTCCCGCAAGCGGAGAGGTCGGCCCAGAGCAGCAAACCAAACTCTCCCAAGCTGTCCCAACTGCTGAAGAAGCGAAGC